ATATGATGGGTCCGTGTGCTCTTGAATACTGAGGGGAGAGAGACTAGGAAATCCATTCACTTCTTTTCATTAAACAAACAAACAAAGGTTTCTCCTGGCCATAACCAAAGGAGGAGGCAGCACCACTTTGCAAACCAACATATATTGTTTGGCACCTTGCCAGAAATGTTTAAGCTTGCATCCTGATACTGACTGTAGGGATACTAACAGCATAATATTCATCTTTTGTCATTTGAAATGGAGTGAAGGTGAACAAGGCCTTTAAGAAGACCGGTCAGGATCCTCCCAGTGGTGTTAGTTGTGACTGTTTAGAGTGGCCACTAGGGGGCAAAGAGCAAGGAGGCTGCGTAAATGGGAAATACAAAGACAGTCAGTAGTATAAGGACCCTACCGTCAATCAAACCCTAACCCTGCCCCATTGACCCCTGAAGCCACGCCCCTTGACCCCTCCCACCTGTCACCGGAAGTCCCACCCCATGGGGGTATTACTTCCAGGGTCAAGGTGCCACCTGACCGGAAGCAAGGTGTGTCATGTGACCCATCTAAGAACTCCTCCCACCACCCTCTACCAATCAGGAGGGGTTTCGCCCCGAAAGGACCACCCCGAGAGGAGATTTTGACCAATCAGGGTGACTTCCGGGGCGGGGGTGACCAGTCCGGAAGTGGGTCATGTGACTCCTCTAAGAACTCCCCCCACCACCATTTTGTACACTGCGGGTCTGAAGAGTGCACCAAATCCGAACTAGACTTGCTTAAAATAGCCCCTACGCAGACCAGCATCAAGAAAAGCATCTACATCGAGGTGCTGCCTCTATCGGCCATTATGGAGTCTGCCCCCATTGACTTTTTTATAGCAGGGAATGGCATAGATTATATGGATTTAAACAACACGCTGCTGTGCCCGTGTTGCAAGATTGTAAAAGGAGACGGAACTGAACTCTCCGTGGACGCTAAAGTGGGTCTGGTGAATTACCCTGTGGCCTCTATTTTCAGTCAGTTGGATGTCACGCTGGGAGACCGCCTCATAAGCCAAAGCAACAACTGCTACTCTTACAGGGCCTTTATAGAATCGGTGCTCAATTACAGCGACAACACCCTCGACATGCAATTTTCCGCCGGCCTGTATTACAAAGACACTGCTGGACAACATGAAGAAACAGAGTTGGATGGAGGGAATCTAGGGTTTGTGAGGCGTGCAAAGCTGACGGCCGAGAGCAGAACGGTAGAGCTGCTGGGCTATTTACACAGCGACCTGTTTTTTCAAGAAAAACTTTT